TTAGCAAATTGACCAAACTTTATGGGTATATTTACTGTAAATCCTCACGAGACTACAACTCATTCTCTAGGGTAACCGCGGGTTTTAAAGACTTGTTGTATGTGCTAAAGACAACTGTGATTCCTACGAAAATGAGTTAGAATTTTCTTTCTTTTTTTATTTTTTCTTTGCTAGAGGACTAGAAAAAGTTAGGTGTGAGCGTATTTGATCATCTCATTTTATTACACTTTTATACTCTTATTATCTATTTTATGTGATTAAATTTATCATAATAACGTGTTTTTATCTTAATTTGCAAGAAATGAATAATTAATGAATAAGAGCCTAGAATAATTAAATCATCTCATTTTTCTACTACTTATTGAAGCCTAAGATCAAGCCAAGAGGAGGCCTACAAAAGTCTAAGAGATTAAAAAAAATCGAGTCAACAAGTGAGCAAAAGAAGCAAATCTTTTAGGAACCAATCGATTGACCAACCAAGGGGATAATTTATTGTTATAAGGGGCTGACCAAGGGGCTAATCGATTGGTTTGTAATAGAAATAGTGTATTACTAAAATTCTTTTTAGTGCTCAAGCCAAATCTATTGGCTCTTGTTGATTGTTGTAAGCTATAAATAGTGGTAGATCGTGAGGGATTTGGGTGTGAAAAGCTTTGTAAAACCTCTATTTGGAGAGGATTATTAGTCTTAATTGAGAAGACCTTCTAAAGTTATAAACTTTTTATTTATAATAAATAAAAATTTTCCTTCTTTTTTAAATTTTCTTTTCTTCTTCTTTATTGATGAAGATTTACTTTCAACGGTCCAACCCATTGCAATATAACTTTTTATTTTATTGTTTTAGAATTTCATGTTTTAGGATTTTATTTTTATTCTTATATTGCTAGATTAGATATATTTCATGCCTTGTAGTGTAGATTTACTTCCATGCTCTTTTATTATTTTGTTCTTTATTTTTTATATTTTGTAAAATTTATTTTCTTGCAATTTTTATAGTGTAGATTTACTTTTATGTTTTATAATTTTATTAGTTAGATTTTCTCTATGCTCATAGTTTAGATATTTATTTTTTTATTCTTGTTCTCATTTTTTTAGTTAGATTTTATTTTTATTGTAATTTAGATCTCTTTCTTTTATTTTTTCTAGTCTAAATTTTATTTTCTTATTTTTTGTAAAATGAGTAAATAAATGTTGTAGGAATTCTAGTGAAACTAGTTTGATTTCTTTTATAATTTGTGGATTACTCTCTTATACTTTGAATAATCTTGTTTAGGATAATCAACTAGAGAACTAATTGATAGAAGAAAATTTTGATAATCTATACTCATCTTGAGTGGTTTGATAGGTTATGCTTATGAATTTTAGAATTACTATTTAGTTGTTATTCTTTTCATGAATAAAATTTTACTTGGATGATAATTTGACAGATTATGCTTTTTTTATTAGTTTGATTATCTATTCTTAGTATATCTAAAGTAAAATATGATAAAAAGAGAGTAGTTTATAAATCATAAATAAAATTAACTAGTGAATTCTATTCTAGATTCTCATATTCTCTACTTGATTTCCTCCATCTTTTACTTATTTTGATGTTCCTTTTTTGTTTATTTTTTCCTTTTCTTGATTTTGTCTTTTATATTTTTTTATTTCTCCTCCTTGTTTATTCTTTATTTGTTCACTCTCTTTCTCCCCTCTTGTTCTATTTTTTTATTTATAAATAATCACACACTTTTATATCTCTATACTTTTACTCCACTTTGTCTACACATATTTTTAGGATCCAATTTAGAATATTTTCTACGCACCTTCCTCATGGGATCAATATTAAGGCTAGATTAGAGTACTAGTATATGTTATTCATGAGTAACATTGTTGTAAATATTAGGAAGTTAGGATATGAGTGTTTGTAGACCTGTCCATCCGGCTCGCTCCAGCCCGGCCTTGAAAACCAAGCCCGGGCCTGGCAAACCGGAGCTCGGAACCGAGCCTGGTTGCCCCGGACCAGTCTCGAGCCTGGGACCAGGCCTGAGCGGGCTGGGGTCCGGGCCGGCCCGGATTTTCTTTGTTTTTAATTTTTTTAAATTTTTAAGAATACAAAAAAATAAACACAATTTTGATAAAAAAATTATATTATTAATCAATTCTAATTATGTAATTACAAATATAAAAATTATAGAAAGTAAAATGCTATAAAATAATTGTAGAATTTATAGAAAAAAATAAAATTTAAAAAAATTATGACTAGGATTTGAATCACTAACCTCGTCTCCAAACTCCAAAATTTTACCACTAGAATAAGTATCCAAAAGTATTCATGTCATTCAATATATGTATATGTATCTATATTAATATTTATATACACACACATATACATATATTATACGTAAAAAAATTGTAAATACTTATAAAAATTATGTAAATATATTGTATTAT